ATTTATATTATTCATGGTATATAATTTTAGTTACATATCTAATAAGTATATTTTTTATTTTATCAGAATATCAATTTATTTATCTGCTAATTAATTATCAGAAATCGTTATATATAAATCCGCCTGATACTCGTATATCATATATCTATAAAAATAATGTTTACCGATTTTCATCGTATTTTGTACCCTACATCTTCAAAACAGAGCTGAAAGTAATCGACTGCAGGTTGGTTATCGACGATATATTTTTAGATAGAATCCGTAAGTCGATACGTGGGCGTAACTGCTTCACTGTCGCTCAATTAAGCAAGAAACGTTAACAACGGATCGAACTCAATTGATGATCGTTACACATAAATTACACCCATCTCACACTTCCGCGTTACGTCAATAAGATATTGATGCTAAACGAGTTTTTTCAGAATCCAATGTAGCCTAACAATGACAATTATTATTTGATTTTTCCGACCTATTAAATTTCTGGCTCTATTTATCATTTTAACGTTTAAACAATCTGCTGTGCAGATATATTATGTGAGTTTTAATTTTCAATTTTTAATATTTACAATTTTTCTTTTTTCTTTTCTTAAAATACTTTTTTTTATTTGCCCGTATAAACTTCTATTCATATTTTTACTTTTTAAGCTACATTGAGACAAAAATAGCTTAAATTTAAATAAATATTTGAATACTGTCAACGAAACATTTACTTGCAATAAATAAATATTTACTTAATAAAAAGAAGTGATTGTTAAACCAAATTAATGTTTTTTGTACCAAATAAATATATTTTTATGTTTAATTAATATTATTATTTAATTAGTATTATTCAAATAAATAAAAATTTATTGAAATTTAGAATTTTTTTTCTCAGTATAGTCGAACATAAAAAATTCATTTTGTCTTATTCAATCACGTGTATATACTCTATCAGTATCAGATTTAAAATCAATTTTTCACGACGATGACGAAAATGGGTTTGGAAAGCGATTTTTTTTTTCGACGAAAACCGATCAGAGTTTTCCTCGAGAGACGCAATGCAGGCATCATAATTTTGCGACAAGCGAATTGAGAAGATATTCCACTGTGCAGAAAGTTCAGGCAAAGGAGAAGGCGAAGACTTTCCTGAAATTCCAGGAAGCACCGTTAGCTACGCTTCAGAACCGGTAAATCGTTATTAATGAAAGAACAGGATGAGCACTATGAACGCACCTTCGAATAACGTCATCGTACCACCTTGAATGGCTTATGTAACAAGTGCCACCGCGCCGTAGACAATGCGTTACGTGACGCGTATGCAAGTGTGCACATCGTATCGAATCGTCGTCATTTTTCAATCGGAATGCGTCCTTGTGCGCGAGGATTCTATCGAATTCTATATATATAATAGAGACTATATATAATTTGACCAGACACAATTTAGCATTCTGCTAGAAATCAATGACACAGATCAACGAGAACATTGCTCGAGTCAATTTATTTGCAATTACATTACTTTTATTTTAACACACACACACACACACACACACATTTTTTTAGAATAAACTTTCTTCATTTCTTTAATTTCCAATCTTTTAAATTCTTTTTTGAATCATTAATTATTATTCATAATTTTTTAATTATTGATTTTCTTCGTTTTCAAACATTTTGTAAGTTCCAGTTATTATAATTGAGATGTTTAACTGGAAATACACTCCAATTATTACGGTAGAGGGAACAACTTAACTTTGTTGCAATTTTCAATAAATAATTCACGATAGCACTGTTACTGTAAAAAGCGCAACCTTACCCATTTCTTGCCTCGCACTCTGTTCCGAATGCCCGTTTACGCGCATCGTCGACTCCGAACTTTCCTTTTCATACTTATACAGCGCCTTGATTGAGGATCCCGCCTCTGTAAGAAGAAAAGAACAATATTTATTATATGCACTTGCATTGCGCGCTTGTCAAATCGCGGTACAACAGAATATCGCACGCACCACTTCCGATCGTGTCTTCCTATTAATTGTTTCCATAATCACCGGAACAGGGCCTGCCATTGTGTGAAATCATTGTTCAAAGACAATGGTCTTAACTAAGAATACCATACGAAAAAATTACCGATGATTGAAATTATCTATAAAAACGATTGTTTTAAACATTGCTAGGTGTCCAGAGGAAATCGATCTAGTAAACCGAAAGTCAGTGATGATAGATAACAATTACATAGACGGTATTCTGTCTTTTACCTGATGCTTGTGAAATCATAGAATTATGGTCGTATAATATTGCATAAAATATAAAATTTGAAATTAAAAAATGCTTGTTTTAAAAGTCGTTATTCCCTTAACTTATAGTACCGCTCAAAGTTTTCAATACTGCTTTTTGTAAAAGGATGAACTAATTGTTGGTTAAATTTGTTCGTCTTTTATCTCGGTTCTTTTTATATTTGAACCAAAGAAGCGTTGACGCGTATTATATTTTAATTTAGTTTGTATAAAATAAAAGAAAGAAATAAAAAAAACAGGCACTAGTAAGTAAATATTTAGTCCAGATTAAAAATTATAAGCAAGTAACATATTACAGGGTACTTTCCATTTAGTACAAATCAACACAAATGTCATTCTATCGTTGTTATTCACTGAAAGATAAAACGATGTTTGTGTCGACTTATGTCACTAAATGGAAAGCATTCATATTCTACAATTATCGGTTGTTAAGGAAGAGTGGAAGAAACAATTACAGGCTTCAAAAACAAGTGATATAGTGTACTAGTGCTCAAATAAACTCTGATTAACATGCTTTAAGTGTAGCGTTAATTCATTATGACGCCATTCTGAGAATTTGAATATTGTATATCTTACTTTTCAAAAATATACAGAATGTATTAATTTAAGTTAACAAATATTTTTAATATAAAATAAAAATAATTTTTCTTTTTTTTTTTTTTCGTTTATTATTCTCATTTTGTCATTTATTGAAACTTTTTGAAGAGGTACAGTACGTATATTATAAATAATATAATATAATAAATACATTTTAAATTTTTGCAGAAGTTATATGTTGGTAAAATTCCAATATTTTCCATATTTAAATTTTATATGAATTATATTTAATTTTTATATGAATT